AGAATAGACCCTGGGGTCTGACCGAACCCCTAGGGACCTAGTTTGTTAGTCACAGCTTGGAAACAGTTGAGAGCCCCACCCTATAACGGTATATACAATTGCTGAGTATAAAGAGATGATTGCACATATGCTTCCAGGATGGCCTTGGGGACTGCCCCACCCTTGGAGACTTAACCCCTGGGTCATAACTTCGAAATGGTTTAGATCCCCACCCCAAAACTATATATACAATTGTTGGGCATAAAAAGACGAATGCAGTCATGATATTAGAATTGACCCCAGGGTCTGCCCCACCCTTGCAGACTTAACCCCTGGGTCATAACTTTGAAATGGTTGAGATCCCCACCCCAAAACTATATATACAAATGCTGGGCAAAAAGAGACAAATGCAGTCACGATATTAGAATTGATCCTGGGGTCTGGCCACAACCCTAGGGACCTAGTTTCTGAGTCAAAGCTTGGAAACAGTTGAGATCCCCACCCCATAACCATACATAAAATTGCTGGGCATGAAGAATCTAATACAGATATGCTACAAGGATTGGCCTTGGGGTCTGGCATATTCCCTTGATCTCATTCGGAGAATATTTTGCCATCATTGCTTTGGTATCCAGGTGAGCAATACAGGTCCTCTGGGCCTCTTGTTTACAATGAGGATGCAATGTAATACTTACATTTTTTTCTGTCCAAGCGTCATTTACGAAGAACTCTTTGAACTCTTAATCTTACGTCCATTGCCCATTTTCTTCTGTTCTACAGTTGCTCAATAAAGAATTTTCTCACATACTTCACAGGGTGATCCCGTTGTTGCTAGGGAAGAGATTAATATAATATCTTATCCCCTTGGGGTGAGATAGGTGAATCTCAACTCGAGGGGGTGGGTGAGACAAGGACAAGGATATCTCGCACTGGTAAGTGTGGATACAACTGTCCAGGGTAAGAGACAAGGATATCTCACACTGGTAAAATTGTGAATACAACTGTCCAGGGTAGGAGAAAAGGAAATCTCAAACCGGTAAAAGTGTGGATACACCTGTCCAGGTTAAGAGAATAATATAATCTTTCACCCCCTTGGAGATGAGACAGGGTAATCTCATCCCGAGGGGTAGGATTCTTAAGTTGTCAAACACGAGGCTTGCTGTTTATTTTTCTCTTACCCTGTTTACCCTTGTATTTTATATAGAGGTTACATCAATGCAAGACAATGTTGATGTTATGCAGCTGAATTGTCGACGTGACGTCATTGTATTGTTGCTATGACGTCATACAATTGTTGAGAATGTGCAAAGAACACGTGTAGCTTGTCTCAACCCTAGGGTGAGATAAGAAAATGCCATACCGGTAAAATGGTGGATATCCCTGTCCAGGGTAAGAGAATTCCTTGTCTCACCCTAGGGTTGCGACGGGGGGATTCCCCTATTCATAACAATGATATGACATCACGTCAACAATATAATGACATCACGTCAACAATCCATCAACGTCGCCTCAACCCTGAATTCAGCATGTAACATTATCATCACATTATGTATATGATACACAATGGGAGAACAGGGTAAGAGAAAAAGAATAATTCAATTGCACCCCCTTGTGGGTGAGAAAGGGGAATCTCAACCCTCGGTTGAGATTCTTAAGTTGCCAAACACTCGGCACAGCCTCGTGTTTGATTAAGAAAGCTGCTTAAGCCCAAGTAGGAGCTTTTCCTATACAGTTATCCCGACATATGCAAGTCGTTTTTGTGGGTTGAGGTGTGTCAGTAGTTTCTTCATCCTTTTTTGGGGATTCATAATCATATGAGGAGACTAATGAGTTTCCCTTCAGATTCCTATTACATGTCCGTCCAGCTGATTTGCATGTTTACAACAGGTATCAGTTGAATGAAAAACAAAAAAAGCAGACAGTCCAATTAATCTTTATTTTTTTATTACATTAAAAGCATTACCTAAATGTAGAATTCATATTTAATTTTTATCATGATAGATATTGGCTCAAACAGAAATCAGCAGAGACCTTTATTCATATTATATCTCTGTAATCAACCATCAGTTAAATATGCATAAAAAACGTCTATGACAAATAATGGAATGAATAATCTGGAATTCAGCATTTCAGAGATGTCAATCCGGTATGAGTTGGTATTGTGCGACAGAGCTATCTAGTAACGTTTGTATTGAAACATATTTACATTTGCTCTGCAGGCAAATGTCAAGACTTTAACTGCAATGCATTCAGAAGGCAAATGTTGTTGTGAGACTATAACTGCAATGCATTCAGAAGGCAAATGTTGTTGTTAGACTATAACAATCTCTATTGTGACGTCATCAATTTTATTGTTGTCAAGACTTAATTTGCTGTTCAAAGAACTGTTTTAAATAACTAAATAAAGCGTAACTACTCTATATAAATATAAATAATGAATATTTTAGCAAATACTGTTAAGGTCCTATAACACATTTCAATTTCTGACAAACTTACATAAAATGGGCTTTATTATGTTTTTCATCAATAGCAATGTGTATTATAGGAACTTAACATTTGCTAAAACATTCATTGCTTAAATAAAGTCAAAAAGTATCATGTGTAGTAATAAACTTTGACAAACTAATTATAGCTTAAGTACACAGTTCAGATATGCACAATAACCTGGTTGTACTGCCCTTTGTAAAATTTGCTGAATATCAGGCATTTCCCCCCCTTAAAAATTCTTTTGTAAGTCTCACTCGATATAATGAGGAACCAATCACGAAAGGATTTGCTTTCCCGAAAAATATGGCAGAACAGTATAAGGCTTTTATAGAATAGAACCGTATGCTCTTTACGCTGACTGAATGGCGCTACCAGTAACTATCTTGATAAAATACAAAGGAAAGTGAGATCAAATGTCTGCTAGTGGATGTTCTGTGAAGTTCTGCAAACCCCAGTTGACATATTCCTAAATGGAATTCACTAGTCTGGCCATGAGAGTAATTGAAATTCAAAAGAAGAGATGACCAGACATTAAATGGGGAGTCTCGGCAAATTTAATCCAGTTTACATGTTTCAGCCCACTAGTTGGGCCATCATCAGAAAGCCGAGACTCCCCATTTGATGTTGTCTGGTCATCTCTTGTTTTGAATATCTTGATAAAAGAAAGCCGTATGGCAGAATACAATACACATGTTAGATAATTCAGTCAAAATCAAAATTAAACCTTGGTAAAACGCAGAAAACCATCAAAATCAAAGCCTAAAACAGATATAGAGGAATTGAAATAAATTATAATCAGTGTATGATATAATGTTATCACATAATACCTAAAATATTATGAAATTAATGTCTTAATTAAAAGCAAACTATCACTAGAGTAAAATTTTAGCTATTAATCACACATTTAGTAATTGATTTCCCCCTCCCTCTCCCCCACCCTGCATACACACACCAATAAATTCATCTTATCCAGCAAGCCTTATTTGTCAATAAAAAATGTGAACATGTATAACCAAATGTTGATTAGGATTCATTCTGGAGATGTATACTTTTGTACATAATTTGTACATGTAAGCATCTTTGTTGCAAACAAGTACATGAATTGAAAATCCATCATGCAATATTTTTTAAATGACAGAAATAACACCAAAACGGCAAACATGTTTGAAACGTCATTTGATAAAAACTATGAATATTTCACACTACCTTTCTTCAAATGAACACTACATTTAACATAAAGCTCTCTTGAGACAACTTGGATATGATCCACAAGACAATGTTAACATTCTAAAGGAGTCTATGTTACTGTGGAAATGTTAAATTATATATCTTTTCACACCACTCAGCAAAGTTTGTGCAAAATCATTAACCACATACGATCACAAAATGCTTAAATAGAGAAAACACTAAAATATTACAAAGTTCAAATCAAAAGGGCTATCTATACAATGAATCAACTAATTATGTCTTCAATTCACTTTTTATAGTTAAACATTAAAACCAAGTTATATTATAACTTCATGTATGTACAAAATGTATATACAATTGACATAAATCATTTAAAAAGTTGCAAACATGTCCAACTCTAACTTTTTGTTAAGTCTTGCATTGACAGTTGCAACCTTGGATGTAATTAATAATGAAAATATAACACACCAACAAAATTAATACATGTATATATGTTTATGACTCCTGGGCACGAATTGTGAATAAGTAGACATAAGTCCATGTTGTTTTACTTTTCAGTTACAAAGTAATTTATGATTTAGCTTTTGTGTATACACTATAAAATAGAATATTTCACAAAACGTTGGTTGATTTCTAAAAGAAAAAGTTATTTTTAACGTCATTTGAGATTTGGACTTAACCTTAAGATTGTTTTATGATCCTGGTTTTCAGGAGAACAGAACTGGACAGCATCAATGGTTGGTAATATAACATTGCAAGTTCCCAGCTTTGTAAAACAGTCATAATACAAAATGTTCGTATGGATCTAGAATGAATTACAATTTTACTGTGTAGCTAATCTGAGTATAAACTTTTACCAACTCTGATGTTGCTAAAAGGGTTTGCACATACACTTGTCATGTTTGTGCAGTTTTGCAGTATTGAAGACTGAAAACTATGGTCATAATTTATCCAACAAGGACAATCAGCCTCATTATTTTTTGTTTTTCTTCTTCCCTCCTTGCTTTGCTTTCTGAGACGGTCCTTTCTGAGACGGTGCTTTCTGAGATGATGGCTCACTTTGAGATTTTGCTTGTTTAGCCTTGTTTTTCTTAAACTCCTTAATTACATCTTGGCCAATTATACCATTGGCTTCCTCAAAGATGTCCTTTTTGTATTTTCTATCCATACCTTCAACATTAATCATTATTTCATAGGCCTTGAGGATGGTAACGCATCTATCCCGCTCCTCTGGATCATTTTCCAAAAGAAGGTCAGATACTTGGTCTTCAGGCCAATTATCAGGGCAGAACTTAATCTTCTCAAAGTCTCCCATATTTCCCTCACCTCCATCCTTCATCCTTGTATAAACAACCTGCATATACAGAGTAAACAACAACGTTATTATCTAAAATAATATATTCACAATGACAAGGTTTCCAAAAGTTTCAGAATTTCTAAAAAGAAAAGAATATCAAATGATTTCGCTGAAATAACTTTAAAATGTCAAAATACTTTATAGGAAGTAATGCAAAAGTATACTATAACAGTAAGTAAATCTACCATCTCAGACAATTATGTATTAAGATTGTTTTATTACCAAAATGTTTGTGATCCTTAAAATGGAAATCAAAATACAGTTTTATGTTTATATATATTTATACATAAATGTGGACCAGCTGTTCCACATTTAACAACAGTACAAACCTTTGTATCGTAGATATTTGTGCCATCAAGAAGAACTTCAAACTCGTCAAACAGGGTTTTAGACACCTTGCCACAACCATGGAAGACCTGAAAGTACATGCACCATCTTACTAAGTTACCGTCTTACACAACAGACCCAGCTTCAGTGTTAAGCTGACTATACATACACTTTGTAAAGAAACACAAACTGTAACGCAATCCGAATGTTTGTTTGTTAGAGTGGTTTAACATCCATTTGACAATAGGATACAATAGGATACAAGCAACCAGCAGAGGAAGATTCTATACTTTCAGTTCTTCAAAAGGAAGTCATTTGAAGTGTTTGACACATTTGATCCCTGAGACCTTGAAAGTAAGGTCAAGGTCATTTCCATTCTCAAACTTTGCTGGGCTCTATCCCAGGAAACCACCAGCCAAATACATGTATAAGGATTCTATAACTTTCAGTTCTTCAGAAGAAGTCATTTGAAGTATTTGACCCCTGCGACCATGAAAGTTGGTCAGTCATTTTAGTTCTCAAGCTTTTTCTGGCTCTTTCCAAGGAAGCCACCAGCCAAATATGAAGATTCTGTACCTTTCAGTTCTTCAGAAATCGTTTGAAGCAGTTCACATATTTGACAGCTGAGACCTTGAAAGTATATCAAGGTAATTTTTATTCTCATACTTAGTCTGGCTTTATCCCAGGAAGCTACCAGCCAAATATGAAGATTTTATACCTTTCAGTTCTTCAGAAGAAGTCATTTGAAGTGTTTAACATGTTTGACCCCTGTGACCTTGAAAGTAGGTCAAGGTAATTTTTATTCTCAAACTTTGTCAGGCTCCTACCAACGAAGATTTCAGCCAAATATCATAGCTCTAGGCCTGTCCGTTCTTAAAAGAAGTTGACGGACGACGACAGGCAGGTGAGCTAAAAGTGATTTAGATAATTTTCCACTTTCTGGACAATTTGACAATAGAATTTTATGGTTCATTTAAATTCTGATGTTTACCAATTACCATAAGTTGTAAAACTTGAGCAAATAAAGAACTGAACTGAACTGCACCTGTCCAGTAGTAAGATGTGGGAAAATAAGTAGTATATATACAGACAAAACCTATTACTGGATCAAAGAGAAATCTTGGTAAATGATAATGACCTAATGATGATCACATCGTTTACTTATTCTGCATTATTTTGTTCCAAGATTTCCTTATCTGTTTTAAGACAGTCACAAGGCTGTCACAGATTACTACCTTAGGGAAGGCCTTAGAAGTGAGAAAATCTTGTAATGTGCCCTCTGTCATCAAAGTTGGATTCTCCTTCACAGGAAACAGGAAGCAGTCCTTCCTGTCCACACACATGATGTGGGAAATGCTGCCGCCTTCCTCCCCCAACTTGTCTCCATAGCAACGAACGGCCACTGCTGACTTTTTCTCACAAATCTCTTTCAAGGTACATTTACTTATGTCAGCATCATCAATTTTTGTAGTGGTGTATTCTGTAAAACACAGAGAATACAAATTAAATTCAAAATAAATAATATGTTAGATATTTTCAACTATCCATTACTTTAGGTCGAAATGATGTATGAATACAGTTTAAGGTATAACTTACTAGTACAACTTAGAGTTGCTAATTTGTATCGATTTTCAGGTTGGCTCCTATCTCAATGACTCGTTGTAATGTTGAAAGTTTTCATGCTGTAGTCAAACCATGGTTCATCATAGAAAATTATGTTCAATTAACCACAGTCTGATGTAAAAAGACTGATCATCAATTAAATTGATTAATTAATCAGAGCAGCACTATTAAAGTACCTAGCTGACTTAGTCAGCTACAATCTACAAACGTATCTAACGTGTCACACAAAAAGAATTTAGACACGTTTATAGAGTGTACAGTCTCATTCACAGAAACCTGTAGAGTAGTACCTACATGTAGCTGACAACAGAATCTCGACTCATTGATAGACTTATACAGGTTTACACAGTGTACAGTCTCATTCACAGAAACCTGTAGAGTAGTACCTACATGTAGCTGACAACAGAATCTAGACATATTGATAGACTTATACAGGTTTACAAAGTGTACAGTCTCATCCACAGAAACCTGTAGAGTAGTACCTACATGTAGCTGACAACAGAATCTAGACTCATTGATAGACTTATACAGGTTTACAGAGTGTACAGTCTCATCCACAGAAACCTGTAGAGTAGTACCTACATGTAGCTGACAACAGAATCTAGACTCATTGATAGACTTATACAGGTTTACAGAGTGTACAGTCTCATCCACAGAAACCTGTAGAGTAGTACCTACATGTAGCTGACAACAGAATCTAGACTCATTGATAGACTTATACAGGTTTACAGAGTGTACAGTCTCATCCACAGAAACCTGTAGAGTAGTACCTACATGTAGCTGACAACAGAATCTAGACTCATTGATAGACTTATACAGGTTTACAGAGTGTACAGTCTCATCCACAGAAACCTGTAGAGTAGTACCTACATGTAGCTGACAACAGAATCTAGACTCATTGATAGACTTATACAGGTTTACAGAGTGTACAGTCTCATCCACAGAAACCTGTAGAGTAGTACCTACATGTAGCTGACAACAGAATCTAGACTCATTGATAGACTTATACAGGTTTACAGAGTGTACAGTCTCATCCACAGAAACCTGTAGAGTAGTACCTACGTGTAGCTGACAACAGAATCTAGACTCATTGATAGACTTATACACGTTTATAGAGTGTACAGTCTCACCTTTTATATATGTAGCTCCAAACTAAAGTACTTGATTAGCACATATTTATGGATGTTTGACAAATTGAAGTCTATTTGTAGTATTTGACTTTTGAGAAACATGTCAGTGCTGTTTAAGACATTTAGCCTAGAGAGAATACAAGAAAGCATTAGAAAATAAATAAATTATGAATAGAAGAAATGGTACTTTGAATGATTGAAAGAATTAAATAATGAATGAAGAAGCACTTGATTAATTTTATTTAAGAAAATAAAATGTGAAGGGTGATGTCTGAGGCAGTTACAAATATTATACAGTTATCAGACTTGTCAATTTTTTAAAGGCCAATGCAAGTGATGACTAATAAAAATCCTGGTCAAATCACTACCAATATAGGTCATTGTGGAAAATGTCAAAACATTACAGGATTTCGACTTTTTTTATGTTACATTACTTTAATTCCAAAGCTATTAAATATTTGGAGGAACAACCATTTGCCTTCATATACTCTTAAATGTTTTTTGTACTCTTTTGCTGATATATTTTTTAATTTCTGTTTTAGAAAAAGGGCTACTGAGCCAATTAACTATTTTTAACCAATTTCTGACATTGGGTGTGACTTGATCACAGACCTGTTCAGTTTTATCAACTTCTGTAAATTTTGAGAATGTAAGACATCCATCGCATTTGTTATTTGCAGTCAGCATCTCAAGAATTCCACAAATTATGACAAAAGTATAAAATATGAAACAATTTAATGCCTGGCCAATATTTCATTAACATGCACTCATGTTTGATTGGGTGGGTTGTTACATCAATGACAGGACTGGCATGGCCTTTCCATATTTTATTGAAACTTGAAGATTTTTACCATGGTACACTTTGTATAATAAACATACTTTTACTTCTATCTGACTATCTGAGCTAAAACCTCAGTAAAACCCAGCCGGATCGACCCGTCAACTAACTGCTATAAAGGAGGAATGTGGAAGAAATTAACACTTATCAGATACGTCCCAGGACACAGTATTTCAAGGTCATACAGGACTGACACACTGGATTTTGGTGACTTGACAGGTTTTAATGGTCCTAATGTTGAATGTGTTTAGTGCTATGCTCTATAGAATGAGAGATTAAGATAATCTTAATTCATTGAATCTTTAGAAACAAGCCTTTATAGGTAGCAATACAATCTTCTGAAAGTGCAATGAACATTATTTGAAAATAAGAGATATAACTGACCTTCCTCCACTAAAACGTCTGATTCTGCTTCTTGTTGGCCATCATCCCAAGCATCAGTCACATCTTCAGGTTGGTTGGCTTCCTCAGCAACAGGTTGGTTTGGTATCTCATCAACTGCTTTGTTGATTTTCTCATCAACTGCCGGAGTATCTGTTTTCTTTCTTTTTTCTTCACAAGCAGCTTCTTTTGAATTGCTTCCTTCAAGAAAGTCATTTTGTAAGTCATATTCTATACTGTCAGACTGGTCTTCATTCTTTTCTTCCTTTTTCTTCTCTTGACGTCCAGTCTTTTTCTTCCCTCCCTCACTGTCTTCCTCTCGTTCACGCTTTTTGGTTTTCTTACTTTTCTTACTTTTAGAGGGAACTTCTTGAGCATTGGCCTTCGTTACACACTTGTCAAAGTGTATCATCATCCCTGACAGAGAAAAAAGAAATTTGTACATGATATACTGCTCTGTGACTGAACTTAAGGTCATTGGAGTGTATCGATAAACGGAAACAGGAAGTACATCCCTAGTTGAAAATCCAATGTAGGGAGACAGTATCACAATTTCCGCAAATTCTAATGTTTAATATTAAACTGATGAATAACAGTGTGTTCTCTCAATATTAAAGTATTTCAAAGCAATCCAGGCATTAATTCAGGTTTTTTAATTATCAATGAGTCACATGTGTCCATTTTTCTGTACTTCAGGAAACCGGCTTCCTATTTCACTACTGTGAAGTTTTTCAAGAACGATAACTCTTACCTGCAATTACTATGTGTATATATGGTTTTATTATAAAATGTCAATTTTTATATCGTGTATAGAGAATTAATTTTACACAATTTCAGCATTTATTAAATTGATATACATTAATGCAATACTAATATATGTCAGTATCATTTTTATTGACATTATTTT